TCATTATCCCTGGACATTTTACTGTCATTATCCCTGGACATTTTACTGTCATTATCCCTGGACATTTTACTATCATTATCCCTGGACATTTTACTATCATAATCCCTTGACATTTTTCTGTCATTATCCCTGGACATTTTACTGTCATTATCCCTGGACATTTTACTGTGATTATCCCTGGACATTTTACTGTGATTATCCCTGGACATTTTACTACTAAACACATGACAACGTGTTAGTATTGTGCTAAAGTATCCTATATATATAGGATATAATAGAGCAACAAGGCTCAAGGATCCGATAAGGCTTCGATTTTCAATATATGTAATTATTGACATATTAAATGAAACATCAGAATGAAAAATAATGCTGGCAGTGTTAGAGCTCCAGTGTTAGAGCTCCAGTGTTAGAGCTCCACCGTTTCTGCAGCTTGAGCTGTTCTTTCAATTCTCCTCTATAAAGGAGGCAAGTGTTAGAACAGAAATTTGTATTGTTTTCAAGTGGTTTTTTTTTTTGGTTTTGATTAGTATGTTTTGTTTACAGTGTTAACAGCCCTCAGTAAATTCCAGAAGTCACCCAACACATTTATACCCGTCCATATGCATATGCAGCTGCGTCCTCGAAAACACAACCAACTGACAATATGGCACCTCCCAGAGGAAGTCATCCTCTATATCCTCAAAGGCTTCCACATCAGAGACATCCTCAGTATGAGGACGGTATGTATGACATGGCTTCCTCAATATGAGGACTGTATGACATGGCTTCCTCAGTATGAGGACGGTATGTATGACATGGCTTCCTCAATATGAGGACGGTATGACTATGTATGACATGGCTTCCTCAGTATGAGGACGGTATGTATGACATGGCTTCCTCAATATGAGGACGGTATGACTATGTATGACATGGCTTCCTCAGTATGAGGACGGTATGTATGACATGGCTTCCTCAATATGAGGACGGTATGACTATGTATGACATGGCTTCCTCAGTATGAGGACGGTATGTATGACATGGCTTCCTCAATATGAGGACGGTATGACTATGTATGACATGGCTTCCTCAATATGAGGACGGTATGTATGACATGGCTTCCTCAATATGAGGACGGTATGACTATGTATGACATGGCTTCCTCAATATGAGGACTATGTATGACATGGCTTCCTCAGTATGAGGATGGTATGACTATGTATGACATGGCTTCCTCAATATGAGGACTATGTATGACATGACTTCCTCAGTATGAGGACGGTATGACTATGTATGACATGGCTTCCTCAGTATGAGGACGGTATGTATGACATGGCTTCCTCAATGATATGAGGACGGTATGCATGACATGGCTTCCTCAATATGAGGACGGTATGTATGACATGGCTTCCTCAGTATGAGGACGGTATGCATGACATGGCTTCCTCAATATGAGGACGGTATGTATGACATGGCTTCCTCAATATGAGGACGGTATGTATGACATGGCTTCCTCAATATGAGGACGGTATGTATGACATGGCTTCCTCAGTATGAGGACGGTATGTATGACATGGCTTCCTCAATATGAGGACGGTATGACTATGTATGACATGGCTTCCTCAGTATGAGGACGGTATGTATGACATGGCTTCCTCAATATGAGGACGGTATGACTATGTATGACATGGCTTCCTCAATATGAGGACTATGTATGACATGGCTTCCTCAGTATGAGGATGGTATGACTATGTATGACATGGCTTCCTCAATATGAGGACTATGTATGACATGGCTTCCTCAATATGAGGACGGTATGACTATGTATGACATGGCTTCCTCAATATGAGGACTATGTATGACATGGCTTCCTCAGTATGAGGATGGTATGACTATGTATGACATGGCTTCCTCAATATGAGGACTATGTATGACATGACTTCCTCAGTATGAGGACGGTATGACTATGTATGACATGGCTTCCTCAGTATGAGGACGGTATGTATGACATGGCTTCCTCAATATGAGGACGGTATGACTATGTATGACATGGCTTCCTCAATATGAGGACTATGTATGACATGGCTTCCTCAGTATGAGGATGGTATGACTATGTATGACATGGCTTCCTCAATATGAGGACTATGTATGACATGACTTCCTCAGTATGAGGACGGTATGACTATGTATGACATGGCTTCCTCAGTATGAGGACGGTATGTATGACATGGCTTCCTCAATATGAGGACTATGTATGACATGGCTTCCTCAGTATGAGGACGGTATGTATGACATGGCTTCCTCAATGATATGAGGACGGTATGTATGACATGGCTTCCTCAATATGAGGACGGTATGTATGACATGGCTTCCTCAATATGAGGACGGTATGCATGACATGGCTTCCTCAATATGAGGACGGTATGTATGACATGGCTTCCTCGATATGAGGACGGTATGCATGACATGGCTTCCTCAATATGAGGACGGTATGTATGACATGGCTTCCTCAATATGAGGACGGTATGCATGACATGGCTTCCTCAATATGAGGACGGTATGTATGACATGGCTTCCTCAATATGAGGACGGTATGCATGACATGGCTTCCTCAATATGAGGACGGTATGTATGACATGGCTTCCTCAATATGAGGACGGTATGCATGACATGGCTTCCTCAATATGAGGACGGTATGTATGACATGGCTTCCTCAATATGAGGACGGTATGTATGACATGGCTTCCTCAATATGAGGACGGTATGTATGACATGAATTCCTCAATATGAGGACTATGTATGACATGGCTTCCTCAATGATATGAGGACGGTATGGAGGACATGGCTCTCAATGATATGAGTACGGTATGTATGACATGCCTTCTTCAATGATATTAGGACTATGTATGACATGCTTTCCTCAATGATATGAGGGCGGTATGTAAGACATGGCTTCCTCAATGATATGAAGATCGTATGTATGACATGGCTTCCTCCATGATATTAGGACTATGTATGACATGCCGTCCTCAATGATATGAGGACCGTATGTATGACATGGCTCTCAATGATATGAGTACGGTATGTATGACATGCCTTCCTCAACGATATGAGGACGGTATGTATGACATGGCTTCCTCAATGATATGAGGACGGTATGTATGACAATTTTATTTAGAAGTCTATTGTATATATGATTCTGTCACAAATACTTTGTTTCTTTCCCAAACCTGAAGTATTGTGACAATGTAAGTTTTAACACAGTTTCTCACTTATGTATATGATGGAAAGAAGACAGAAGTAGTTTTAATTAATATGTATATGATGGAAAGAAGTCAGAAGCAGTTTTAATTAATATGTATATGATAGAAAGAAGACAGAAGTAGTTTTAATTACTTTAGTAAGCAGCCTCCCCTCCAATGGCACCTTTGCAGTGAACTGTTGGCAATTCAAATTAGAAAAAACAATCGGATGAAGTGGGGAACATACAACTGAAATTCTGTAGCAGAGAAAGCCTTGTGGGGGCCCTATGTATATACATACAAGTCTGACTTTGATGTTGTTAGCTAAGTCTTAATTATTGATTTTAGGTACACTCCTACTTCCGTGACGTTATAGACGACAGCTCACCTGTCTGGGCGATGGCTAGTTTCCAAGACAACTGGCCAATGTGTAATAATCTTCACCATTTTCAAAGGTAAGTGTCATATCTTAGGTTTTTGGTATAAATTATTGTAAAATTAATATTATCATAGTTTGGTAGAAATTATTGTAAAATTAATAATATCATAGTTTGGTAGAAATTATTGTTATAAAAGTAAACATCTTAGTTCGGTCGAAATCAGTGAAAAGTTCATATTATCTTAGTTTGGTAGAAATAAGTATTAGTCAATATTATCTTTGATCGAAATTAGTGTAAAGTTATAAATATTATCTTAGTTTGGTAAAAATAAGTGTAAAGTTATTAATATTATCTTAGTTTGGTAGAAATTGGTGTAAAGTCAATATTATCTTAGTTTGGTAGAAATTGGTGTAAAGTCAATATTGTCTTAGTTTGGTAGAAATTAACTATAAATGTAAACAAAAGATGTTTATACATATTTCATGTATAATGAATTTCTACATATTTTTCTTCTTTTCCAGAGCTGCAAACCTTGGAAATATAGAAGCACTAATCAAGCTAGCCATTGCCTACCTGTACAATGAAGGATGTAAGCTATAATGTTTAGGGTTGTAGCTATAATGTTTAAGGTTGTAGCTATAATGTTTAGGGTTGTAGCTATAATGTTTAGTGTTGTAGCTATAATGTTTATGGTTGTAGCTATAATGTTTATGGTTGTAGCTATAATGTTTATGGTTGTAGCTATAATGTTTAGTGTTGTAGCTATAATGTTTATGGTTGTAGCTATAATGTTTAGTGTTGTAGCTATAATGTTTATGGTTGTAGCTATAATGTTTAGGGTTGTAGCTATAATGTTTAGGGTTGTAGCTATAATGTTTAGGGTTGTAGCTATAATGTTTAGGGTTGTAGCTATAATGTTTAGGGTTGTAGCTATAATGTTTAGGGTTGTAGCTATAATGTTTAGGGTTGTAGCTATAATGTTTAGGGTTGTAGCTATAATGTTTAGGGTTGTAGCTATAATGTTTAGGGTTGTAGCTATAATGTTTAGGGTTGTAGCTATAATGTTTAGGGTTGTAGCTATAATGTTTAGGGTTGTAGCTATAATGTTTAGGGTTGTAGCTATAATGTTTAGGGTTGTAGCTATAATGTTTAGGGTTGTAGCTATAATGTTTAGGGTTGTAGCTATAATGTTTAGTGTTGTAGATATAATGTTTAAGGTTGTAGCTATAATGTTTAAGGTTGTAGCTATAAGGTTTAGGGTTGTAGCTATAATGTTTAGGGTTGTAGATATAATGTTTAGGGTTGTAGCTATAATGTTTAAGGTCGTAGCTATAATGTTTAGGGTTGTAGCTATAATGTTAAGGGTTGTAGCTATAATGTTTAGTGTTGTAGCTATAATGTTTATGTTGTAGCTATAATGTTTATGGTTGTAGCTATAATGTTTAAGGTTGTAGCTATAAGGTTTAGGGTTGTAGCTATAATGTTTATGGTTGTAGCGATAATGTTTAAGGTTGTAGCTATAATGTTTAGGGTTGTAGCTGTAATGTTTAAGGTTGTAGCTATAATGTTTAGGGTTGTAGCTGTAATGTTTAAGGTTGTAGCTATAATGTTTAGGGTTGTAGCTATAATGTTTGTGGTTGTAGCTATAATGATTATGGTTGTAGCTATAATGTTTAGGGTTGTAGCTATAATGTTTAAGGTTGTAGCTATAATGTTTAGGGTTGTAGATATAATGTTTAGGGTTGTAGCTATAATGTTTAGCGTTGTAGATATAATGTTTAAGGTTGTAGCTATAATGTTTAAGGTTGTAGATATAATGTTTAAGGTTGTAGCTATAATGTTTAAGGTTGTAGATATAATGTTTAGTGTTGTAGCTATAATGTTTAGGGGTGTAGCTATAATGTTTAGTGTTGTAGCTATAATGTTTAATGTTGTAGCTATAATGTTTATGGTTGTAGCTGTAATGTTTAAGGTGGTAGCTATAATGTTTATGGTTGTAGCTATAATGTTTATGTTTGTAGCTATAATGTTTAGGGTTGTAGCTATAATGTTTTGGGTTGTAGCTATAATGTTTAAGGTTGTAGCTATAATGATTAAGGTTGTAGCTATAATGTTTAAGGTTGTAGATATAATGTTTAAGGTTGTAGCTATAATGTTTAGTGTTGTAGCTATAATGTTTATGGTTGTAGCTATAATGTTTAAGGTTGTAGCTATAAGGTTTAGGGTTGTAGCTATAATGTTTATGGTTGTAGCTGTAATGTTTAAGGTGGTAGCTATAATGTTTATGGTTGTAGCTATAATGTTTAGTGTTGTAGCTATAATGTTTAAGGTTGTAGCTATAAGGTTTAGGGTTGTAGCTATAATGTTTAGGGTTGTAGCTATAATGTTAAGGGTTGTAGCTATAATGTTTAGTGTTGTAGCTATAATGTTTAGGGGTGTAGCTATAATGTTTAGGGTTGTAGCTATAATGTTAAGGGTTGTAGCTATAATGTTTAGTGTTGTAGCTATAATGTTTAGGGGTGTAGCTATAATGTTTAGTGTTGTAGCTATAATGTTTATGGTTGTAGCTATAATGTTTATGTTTGTAGCTATAATGTTTAGGGTTGTAGCTATAATGTTAAGGGTTGTAGCTATAATGTTTAGTGTTGTAGCTATAATGTTTAATGTTGTAGCTATAATGTTTATGGTTGTAGCTGTAATGTTTAAGGTGGTAGCTATAATGTTTATGGTTGTAGCTATAATGTTTAGTGTTGTAGCTATAATGTTTATGGTTGTAGCTATAATGTTTAGTGTTGTAGCTATAATGTTTAAGGTTGTAGCTATAATGTTTATGGTTGTAGCTGTAATGTTTAAGGTTGTAGCTATAATGTTTATGGTTGTAGCTATAATGTTTATGGTTGTAGCTATAATATTTAGGGTTGTAGCTATAATGTTCCGAAAGTACTTGAGGGATCTTTCTCAAATTTCACACATGTGTTTCCCGTGGTTCCTAGTTATGCATATCAAATTTGAGACAGCAGAAAACAAAGACGACCGTCAGGCAGCCATCAAATGTTGATAGTTTACAGTTTATTAGCGCTGATTTTTAGATAGTACTGGAGGGATCTTCTTCAAATTACACTAGAAGGTTCCTCATGGTCCTTAGTCATGCATCAAGTTTTGGGACTGATCACAAACCTATTATCAGAAAGTACTGAAGGGATTTCCCCCAAATTTTACATGATGGTTCCCCTTGGTCTGTAGTTATGCATACAAAATATTGAGTCGGATGGGAAAACCCAAAGATGGCCACCAGACAGCCATTTTGAATTTTGACAGTTCAATTTTGTTATCACTTTTTCGTTTGTATGTTCACCTTGTTAAAAATACCCCTGGTCCTAATGAGAATTCATCCGTCATTGACGGCATTTCATATTATGTAAGAATTACAAACTTCAACTAAGTTGAAGCATTTTGCATACAGTTATGCAATTCTTTTAAAATAACATTTGTCATAGTGGCAACAACCTATAGGTGACATAGTACCTGTACAGACAATAAAGAGCAAAGAAGCTAGCTCTGATAACATCCTTTCATGGTGGCACGAATGCCCTTCTAGGATCTCTTATTTAATGCTTGATTGAAAATCCCTTCTGTTTATTTTTTTTTCAAAATATCACTGAATTAATTAAACTTAATTACTAAGTAATACTGATCTCTCCAAATTTAGATAAAAACTTGCATGTCAATATTTCCTACGTTGATGAAGACTTGTCCTTTACAGTGCCAGAGGACGACCGTCGTGTGACCAGCAATGGTGAGAAAGCTGCACACATGTTCTGTAAGATGGAGGGCCTCACTCCGGGAACTGACCCATTTTCCTGGCTTTTCATTCGTCCTCCTTGGTCGCGTAATGGCGCCTGCTGTAAGGAGTATGTGTTTACACACATGAAGAAGTATTTAGAGGAGGTAAGCAGTCCGAAGTGTGATAATCAATCAGTTACATGTAAAGGGTTTAATAGTAATACATGTCAAAAACAGGGGTAGCTCCCCTAGTACATAAGTCTCCATCTTCCGTCAACTTTTTCCTTTGAAAGACTAATCACTCTGGCTCTGTGCCTGGGGACTTAATCCCTGTAATATAACGTTGGCTCTGCACCTGGGGAATTAATCCCTATATTATAATGTTGGCTCTGCACCTGGGGACTTAATCCGTGTAATATAACGTTGGCTCTGTGCCTGGGGACTTAATTCCTGTAATATAACGTTGGCTCTGCACCTGGGGACTTAATCCCTGTAATGTAACGTTGGCTCTGTACCTGGGGACTTAATCCTTTTAATATAACGTTGGCTCTGTGCCTGGGGCCTTAATCCCTGTAATATAACGTTGGCTCTGTACCTGGGGACTTAATCCTTTTAATATAACGTTGGCTCTGTGCCTGGGGCCTTAATCCCTGTAATATAACGTTGGCTCTGTGCCTGGAGACTTAATCCTTGTAATATAACGTTGGCTCTGCGCCTGGGGACTTAATCCGTGTAATATATCGTTGGCTCTGTGCCTGGGGACTTAATTCCTGTAATATAACGTTGGCTCTGTGCCTGGGGACTTACTCCCTGTAATATAACGTTGGCTCTGTGCCTGGGGACTTACTCCCTGTAATATAACGTTGGCTCTGTGCCTGGGGACTTACTCCCTGTAATATAACGTTGGCTCTGTGCCTGGGGACTTACTCCCTGTAATATAACGTTGGCTCTGTGCCTGGGGACTTACTCCCTGTAATATAACGTTGGCTCTGTGCCTGGGGACTTACTCCCTGTAATATAACGTTGGCTCTGTGCCTGGGGACTTAATACCTGTAATATAACGTTGGCTCTGTGCCTGGGGACTTAAGCCCTATAATATAACGTTGGCTCTGTGCCTGGGGACTTAATCCCTGTAATATAACGTTGGCTCTGTACCTGGGGACTTAATCCTTTTAATATAACGTTGGCTCTGTGCCTGGGGACTTAATCCCTATAATATAACGTTGGCTCTGCGCCTGGGGACTTAATCCCTGTAATATAACGTTGGCTCTGTGCCTGGGGACTTAATCCCTGTAATATAACATTGGCTCTGTGCCTGGGGACTTACAGCGTATAATATAATGTTGGCTCTGTGCCTGGGGACTTAATCCTTGTAATATAACGTTGGCTCTGCACCTGGGGACTTAATCCCTGTAATATAACGTTGGCTCTGTGCCTGGGGACTTAATCCTTGTAATATAACGTTGGCTCTGCACCTGGGGACCTTATCCCTATATTATAACGTTGGCTCTGCGCCTGGGGACTTAATCCCTATATTATAATGTTGGCTCTGCGCCTGGGGACTTAATCCCTGTAATATAACGTTGGCTCTGCACCTGGGGACTTAATCCCTGTAATATAACGTTGGCTCTGTGCCTGGGGACTTAATCCCTGTATTATAATGTTGGCTCTGCGCCTGGGGACTTAATCCCTATAGTATAACGTTGGCTCTGCGCCTGGGGACTTAATCCCTGTATTATAATGTTGGCTCTGCGCCTGGGGACTTAATCCCTATAATATAACGTTGGCTCTGCGCCTGGGGACTTAATCCCTATAGTATAACGTTGGCTCTGCGCCTGGGGAGTTAATCCCTGTAATATAACGTTGGCTCTGTGCCTGGGGACTTAATCCCTGTAATATAACGTTGGCTCTGTGCCTGGGGACTTTATCCCTGTAATATAACGTTGGCCCTGCGCCTGGAGACATGTTTAGTCCAATTCACTCATGCTGAACAGATAGGTTTTGTTCTCCTTCCTTGGCAATGGAGGTTTAGTCCCTAGATCATAACATGGAAACAGTTGAGATCTCCATTCCATAATGCTCAGGGATCCCCCTGGGTTCGAATTGTAAGGGGATAACCCAATTTTCTCCCATGAAGTATTTTTTTTTAAATGGGCGAGATATTTTGGAGCATGTCATTTTTGAGCGAAGGGGGGAGTACGAGGGCAAGCATTTTGGCATTTTAGTCTCCTTCTTTTCTGCATATTATGTTTTAACCAATCAGAAAATGCCTTTAGGATATCTGGCTACACAACATAAAAAAACCTTAAAACTCTAAAATTCGAAAAAATATGTTTATTCTACGTTAGGCATATCGAGGTCTGGATCATCTTAGCGCTTCACTTCGATAGACTTTTAAAAAGCAAGCCTCTGAGTGATTACGACTCAGGTGAACAGATAAAATGTGATTGATAAACAACGACTTGCATACGCTTTGAATTCGCATGAATAACAATGTCCAGTCCGACGTGATTGTTTATGCAGACATTATAAGTTTTAATGTTAAAATCGTGTATACTCAGAAAGTAGGCGATCCAAAGTAAAACACCAGGAGATATTTAATCACATTTAGAGAAATTTAGCTCGATATTTTTGAAAAAGAGAAGGTACATATCGCGGTTCAAAGTGATCCCTGATGCTAACGAGTGCTGGGCAAGAGTTAAACATAATCAAGCTACCAGAATTAGCCCACAAGTCTGGCCATGTCATTGAGTTACTCCCCATACCGTGAGTCTGGCCATGTCATTGAGTTACTCCCCATACCGTGAGTCTGGCCATGTCATTGAGTTACTCCCCATACCGTGAGTCTGGCCATGTCATTGAGTTACTCCCCATACCGTGAGTCTGGCCATGTCATTGAGTTACTCCCCATACCGTGAGTCTGGCCATGTCATTGAGTTACTCCCCATACCGTGAGTCTGGCCATGTCATTGAGTTACTCCCCATACCGTGAGTCTGGCCATGTCATTGAGTTACTCCCCATACCGTGAGTCTGGCCATGCCTTTGAGTTACTCCCCATACCATGAGTCTGGCCATGTCATTGAGTTACTCCCCGTACTGTGAGTCTGGCCATGTCATTGAGTTACTCCCCGTACCGTGAGTCTGGCCATGTCATTGAGTTACTCCCCATTCCTTGAGTCTGGCCATGTCATTGAGTTACTCCCCATGCCTTGAGTCTGGCCATGCCTTTGAGTTACTCCCCGTACTGTGAGTCTGGCCATGTCATTGAGTTACTCCCCGTACCGGGAGTCTGGCCATGTCATTGAGTTACTCCCCGTACCGGGAGTCTGGCCATGTCATTGAGTTACTCCCCATACCATGAGTCTGGTCATGTCATTGAGTTACTCCCCGTACTGTGAGTCTGGTCATGTCATTGAGTTACTCCCCATACCGTGAGTCTGGCCATGCCTTTGAGTTACTCCCCATACCGTGAGTCTGGCCATGCCTTTGAGTTACTCCCCATACCATGAGTCTGGCAATGTCATTGAGTTACTCCCCGTACTGTGAGTCTGGCCATGTAATTGAGTTACTCCCCGTACCGTGAGTCTGGCCATGTCATTGAGTTACTCCCCATCCCATGAGTCTGGCCATGTCATTGAGTTACTCCCCATCCCATGAGTCTGGCCATGTCATTGAGTTACTCCCCATACCATGAGTCTGGCCATGTCATCGAGTTACTCCCCGTACTGTGAGTCTGGCCATGTCATTGAGTTACTCCCCGTCCCGTGAGTCTGGCCATGTCATTGAGTTACTCCCCATACCTTGAGTCTGGCCATGTCATTGAGTTACTCCCCATACTGTAACATGGGGACTTAGATGAGCACCCTATAATTACATATGTGTTTTGCTGGGTACAATTATGCTTCTAGGATTAGCCCATGGGCTCTGTCTTGGAGAACTAGTTACTGGGTCATAACTCCCTCCATTTAACCATATACACATGTATACAGATATATCTAAAACCTGTTTCGCGTCTCCAGTTAAACTCAATTTGCGACAGTATAATATTTATTTGTGCTCGTTTTTACAGCACCCTGATAATGGAGATGTACAGGTTTGTGTGGCAAAGACTGTGTCCCTGCTGGAAGAGGATGGAAGTGGCGAAACTCAATTCTACCTCCAACAGGCAGCCAAGTATAGGTCCGGAGTAGGGGCCTACCTCCACTGGCAGCAGCAGTGGCAGCACCGAGTGTGTGACCGCGCCTCTAGACTGGAAAGTATACGACAGCTGCGGCAAGTTGCAAAACTAGGGCACATGGAAGCACGTTTAAACCTGTGTAAATTCTATGCCAGGGAAATGTACTGTGGTGTAAGTTTGGACCAAGCAGCATTCACCGTCTGTGACTTTATTCATTCCGTCTCACCAAGCAACATCCAGAGCTGTTTCAAAACTTCAAATGAGCTGACACCATCGATGCGATACATTCTTGTAGATTGGCTGGTGGAAGTGGCAGGAATGAAAGATTTCTCAAGTCAGACTCTTCATGTAGCGGTCAATGTGGTGGACAGATACCTCAGGGTTCACAAGACAACACGCTCAAAACTACAGCTTCTCGGGGTGGCTGCAATGGTCCTCTGCTCTAGGTAAGGAATTAACAAAATTTCAAAGAATAACTACTTTGATTTCAACTCTTGCAAATTTACATGATCAGGATCACATGGGATACCTGTCATATATGGCACAGTTGTATTTAGCAGTAGACTCTCAGACACTCAGTAAACACACACAGGATTTAAAATGTATATGGATATTAAAATATCACATTTTTCAGAGGAGACTGATTAATTCTTTTTTTCTATCAGATTTTTAGGTAAAGACATAATCACAATTCGTGAGGCTGCATGGCTAACAGACAACACATACAAGTATGAAGATGTTGTGCGAATGATGGGCGAGATCACGGCCACACTGCGTGGTAAAATCAGGGTCGCAAACAGTTTTGATTTTGTGGAGCTGTTTTCTTTGTTAGCAAAACTGGATAGGAAAAGTTCATTTCTGGCAGAGTATATCTGTGAGTTGTGTCTGCTCCAGGCAGAGATGGGCCAGTACAAGCCAACAGAGATCGCTGCAGCGTCAGTCCTCCTGGCACGAATACTCACACGACATGGTAGGTGGCACATATGTCTATCAGTAGCCTTGACATTTATTGGCCATTTAAAATTCTCAACCAAAAAATTAATGGATTATTTTGAAATCACAGTTTTGTTAAAGGTTTTTGAAATAGAAAACACATTTTAACCCTGAAAGTGTTATGAACTTGTCACAGTAAATTGCTGTGTTTTCTGCCTCTCTGAATGCTACTGTCACTAAATGATTCTGTTTATCCTCTAGATGAGCCGTGGCCTAAGCGTATGGTTCAGTTTACTGGTTTTACTATAGAGGACATCAGTAGATGTGCCTTCCATATACATGAAAAATGGTAAGTAGAGACAGATCAAGTCGGTTCTATTGGTAAGTAGACACAGATCAAGTCGGTTCTATTGGTATATATAGACAGATCAAGTCGGTTCTATTGGTAAGTAGATGCATATCAAGTCGGTTCTATTGGTAAGTAGAGACAGATCAAGTCGGTTCTATTGGTAAGTAGACAGATCAAGTTGGTTCTATTGGTAAGTAGACACAGATCAAGTCGGTTCTATTGGTAAGTAGAGACAGATCAAGTCGGTTCTATTGGTATATATAGACAGATCAAGTCGGTTCTATTGGTAAGTAGATGCAGATCAAGTCGGTTCTATTGGTAGGTAGAGACAGATCAAGTCGGTTCTATTGGTAAGTAGACAGATCAAGTTGGTTCTATTGGTAAGTAGACAGATCAAGTCGGTTCTATTGGTAAGTAGATATTGGTAAAGAGACAGATCAAGTCGGTTATAGACAGATCATGTCGGTTCTATTGGTAAGTAGACACAAATCAAGTCGGTTCTATTGGTAAGTAGAGACAGATCAAGTCGGTTCTATTGGTAAAGAGACAGATCAAGTCGGTTCTATTGGTAGGTAGAGACAGATCAAGTCGGTTCTATTGGTAAGTAGACGCAGATCAAGTCGGTTCTATTGGTATATAGAGACAGATCAAGTTGGTTCTATTGGTAAGTAGACAGATCAAGTTGGTTCTATTTTTCCAAAGAAATACAAGGTTTATAAATGATGAAAATAAACACCTGTGTAAACTATCTATTACAGTATTCATAGAGAACAGATCCAGTATGGCAGTGACAATTGTAACATGCTGTCTGTGTAAACTATCTATTACAGTATACATAGAGAACAGATCAAGTATGGCAGTGACAATTGTAACATTCTGTCTGTGTAAACTATCTATTACAGTATACATAGAGAACAGATCAAGTATGGCAGTGACAATTGTAACATTCTGTCTGTGTAAACTAGCTATTACAGTATACATAGAGAGAACATATCAAGTATGGCAGTGACAATTGTAACATGCTGTCTGTGTAAACTATCTATTACAGTATACATAGAGAACAGATCAAGTATGGCAGTGACAATTGTAACATTCTGTCTGTGTAAACTAGCTATTACAGTATACATAGAGAGAACAGATCAAGTATGGCAGTGACAATTGTAACATGCTGTCTGTGTAAACTATCTATTACAGTATACATAGAGAGAACAGATCAAGTATGGCAGTGACAATTGTAACATGCTGTCTGTGTAAACTATCTATTACAGTATACATAGAGAGAACAGATCAAGTATGGCAGTGACAATTGTAACATGCTGTCTGTGTAAACTATCTATTACAGTATACATAGAGAGAACAGATCAAGTATGGCAGTGACAATTGTAACATGCTGTCTGTGTAAACTATCTATTACAGTATACATAGAGAGAACAGATCAAGTATGGCAGTGACAATTGTAACATGCTGTCTGTGTAAACTATCTATTACAGTATACATAGAGAGAACAGATCAAGTATGGCAGTGACAATTGTAACATGCTGTCTGTGTAAACTATCTATTACAGTATACATAGAGAGAACAGATCAAGTATGGCAGTGACAATTGTAACATGCTGTCTGTGTAAACTATCTATTACAGTATACATAGAGAGAACAGATCAAGTATGGCAGTGACAATTGTAACATGCTGTCTGTGTAAACTATCTATTACAGTATACATAGAGAGAACAGATCAAGTATGGCAGTGACAATTGTAACATGCTGTCTGTGTAAACTATCTATTACAGTATACATAGAGAGAACAGATCAAGTATGGCAGTGACAATTGTAACATGCTGTCTGTGTAAACTATCTATTACAGTATACATAGAGAGAACAGATCAAGTATGGCAGTGACAATTGTAACATGCTGTCTGTGTAAACTATCTATTACAGTATACATAGAGAGAACAGATCAAGTATGGCAGTGACAATTGTAACATGCTGTCTGTGTAAACTATCTATTACAGTATACATAGAGAGAACAGATCAAGTATGGCAGTGACAATTGTTACATGCTGTCTGTGTAAACTATCTATTACAGTATACATAGAGAACAGATCAAGTATGGCAGTGACAATTGTAACATGCTGTCTGTGCACTACATACAATTTTGAAATGGAAGATAAAAAACTCCTTTGCTTTATGCTGATAATTGAGATGTTTGGTTGAGGATAATTGCCTGTATTTGTATTCCAAGGAAATGAGATGATCAAGAAGAGATGTGATTCGTCCTCCGAGAATTCCCTCCCTAGGGCCACCTGACACTTAGTCGACCTAATTCTAATATCTTTTGTTTGTCGTTGTCCATAAACAAATAACAGTTCAAAAATTTTCTCCAAAACCACAGAACCAATTTCAATAAAATTTTGCAGGAAGGTTCCATGATCACTCAAAGAGTTAAAAATTAGGATCTAACCTCTAAATGCCTGAGGGAACTAAAAGTTGTCAAATTTGCTAAAACAATCTTCAGACCCAGATATGCTGGAATCAAAGTCTCTTGGAAAGGTTTTAAATGTACTTTATCAAAAGTGTCGCCCCTGGATGACCCATCCTTATTTTATTAAAACCTGTTTTTTCACTTTGCTTGGCGTGATATCGCCGTTGTCACTGCTATGTTATGGACGTGATATTGACATTGTCGCTGCTATGTTTAAGGCGTGATATTGACATTGTCACTGTTATGTTTAAGGCGTGATATCGACGTTGTCACTGCTATGTTTAAGGGGTGATTTTGACATTGTCACTGTTATGTTTAAGGGGTGATATTGACATTGTCACTGCTATGTTAAAGATGTGATATTGACATTGTCACTGCTATGTTTAAGGCGTGATATTGACATTGTCACTGTTATGTTTAAGGCGTGATATCGACGTTGTTACTGCTATGTTTAAGGAGTGATATTGACATTGTCACTGTTATGTTTAAGGGGTGATATTGACAACGTCGATATCACGCCTTAATCATAAGTGATATTGACATTGTGACTGCTATGTTTAAGGGGTGCTATTGACATTGTCACTGGTATGTTTAAGGAGTGATATTGACATTGTCGCTGTTATGTTTAAGGTGTGATATCGATGTTGTCACTGCTATGTTTAAGACGTGATATTGACATTGTCACTTATGATTAAGGCGTGATATCGACGTTGTCACTGCTATGTTTTAGGGGTGATATTGACATTGTCACTGTTATGTTAAAGACGTGATATTGACATTGTCACTGCTATGTTTAAGACGTGATATTGACATTGTCACTGCTATGTTTAAGGCGTGATATCAACGTTGTCACTGCTATGTTTAAGGGGTGATATTGACATTGTCACTGCTATGTTTAAGGGGTGATATTGACATTGTTACTGCTATGTTAAAGGGGTGATTTTGACATTGTCTCTGCTATGTTTAAGGGGTGATATTGACATTGTCACTGTTATGTTTAAGGAGTGATATTGACATTGTCACTGTTATGTTTAATGCATGATATTGACATTGTCACTGCTATGTTTAAGGTGTGATATTGACGTTGTCACTGCTATTTGTCACTGCTATGTTTAAAGCGTGATATTGACATTGTCACTGCTATGTTTAAGTCATGATATTGACATTGTCACTGCTATAAGTCATGATATTGACATTGTCACTGCTATGTTTAAGTCATGATATTGACATTGTCACTGCTATGTTTAAGTCATGATATTGACATTGTGA